TCGTCTCTTTATGCCCAACAATTGTATACATAGTTTTGGGGTGGGAATCTTAACCATTTCGAAGTTATTACCCAGGGGTTAAGTCTCCAAGGATGAGGCAGTGCCCAAGGCCAACCTGGAAGCATATGTGCAATCATCTCTTTATACTCAGAAATTGTGTATACGGTTATAGGGTGGGGCTCTCAACTGTTTCCAAGCTGTGATTAAGAAACTAGGTCCCTAGGGGTTCGGTCAGACCCCAGGGTCTATTCTGATATCATGATTGTATTCGTCTCTTTATGCTCAGCATTTGAATATTTAGTTTTGGGGTGGGGATCCTAACAGTTTTAAAGTTATGGCCCAGGGACTATGTCTCCAAGGGTGGGGCCAGACCCTAGGGACATCCTGGAAGCAAATGTGCATTCTTCTCTTTATACTCACCAATTGTATATATGGTTATATGGTGGGGATCTCAACCATTTCCAAGTAATACTTTTTTTTGGCCCTACCCCTTAGCCCGGGGGGTCAGCCCCACCATTTGTACAATTTTGAATCCCTGCCTACCATGAATGCTTTTGATCAAATATGATTGATATCAAATAGTTCTACAGAAGAAGTCGTTTGTAGCAATATAGCCAAATTGCCCCCGCTCCTCAGCCCCCTGGGGAGTCAGCCCCACCAGTTGTACAATTTTGAATCACCACCACCTAGGGATGCTTCCAGTCAAATATGGTTGATATCCACCTCTTAGTTCCAGAGAAGAAGTCGCTTAAAGCAATATAGCCAAATTGACCCCTTTTGGCCCCGTCCCTCAGCCCCCTGGGGGGTCAGCCCCACCATTTGTACAATTTAGAATCCCCACCACCTGTGGATGCTTCCAGTCAAATTTAGTTTAATTCCAACTCCTGGTTAAGAAGAAGAAGTCGTTTAAAGAAATTGTTGACAGGCCGGACGGCCAGACAACGGCCGGACACCACTGTATGGCATAAGCTCACTGGGTGAGCTAATAAAATGACATTTGGTTAATTAGACCACAGGTACGGTTCAATTGTAACAACAACTTGTGATCACTGATTAGACACTCTTGGTTCTAGACACAACAAACCCCACA